TCTTCGTTTACATCTCCTTCACTGCCGGTCTAAAATTTCCCTCACACCCTTTCTCGTTTTTTCTTCGTTTCTTTACGACTGTTCTACGTCTTACGCAGGCTCCCCTTTCTACGGGTTCTGTACTTTCTTAGAAGTTGCACAAGAAGATCACAGGCACCGTCAAGATTTATTCTACTTGTCGACGCGAGAGTGGGCACCCCTTTACTTTTCCAGATCCACCAATCAAAAGATTTCCCCCACTCAAGTTAAACCCGTTGGCAGATTACAGCGAAAGTGGCATAATTTCCTTACACATATCTCACCATACTAAGGTGCCTTAAGCTTCCAACGAACAATTAAAATGTCAGGACTGTATCACTCTGCCATTGAATACAAGAAAATAATTTAAAGATGCTGCAAAATAATGAGACAACCCTTTATACCTCCTATGACCCAAATTCTAAAACTGTGCAACCACAAAAAACTTTAAACCCTAAATTGGTAGAAACCACCTGCTAAACCAACCTTTAATCAATAACAAATAAAAAATAAATGACTGCCGACGTCGATGTGGCCTTGTGTCTTTTTATTGGATCATGTCTAATTGAAACAGGAAATTTGGTTTACAGAGTCATGGAAAGAGACCAATTCTGACGCTGCAGCACGGGACGCCACTTACCTAACTACCTAATCAGAAGTATTGAACTTGAAAAAGGGACAGGAACCCTTTATAAACATCCCAGCTTCACTCTATTTATGGGATTACCTCCATGGGAAACTTTTCCACCTCTTTTCCAACTCTTCCCCCTTGCTAACCGCCTAAACCGATTGGAACCAAATTGGGTACACAATATTCTTAGACATAAAAGAAGGAGCTGAAAAGCTTTTGGGCAAAACGAGCATGCGCAGGTCTGCGGGCAAATTTTTTAAGGTACCTTTTGTTACACCATTCACACTTACTTTCGGATTAAGTGGTGCAATTTTACTAAGCAGTTTTGTATAAAATCGTCACTAAACCTTCATTTCAATGACCAGGCTACTTTTCACATCGCCTGTCACTATACCGGCAGCACCTGGTACTTTTCCGCCCGCACCTGTCACATTGGCAATGTCTATAGGTAATGACTCCTGTCATCACTGACAGATTGAATACGATTTTGGGTAAAATTTAGTTACAAAAAACAAAATTCGTCAGTAAAATGACACTACTTAATTAGGGAATTAAAGTACTCGGCCCCAAAGGGGGTCAATACATATTCCTCGAAATGGTATTTTTTTAGACAATATTTCTGAATATGTCAGTTTTGACAGAAGTCTGGTGAAGTGACAGGAGGCAGGAAAAGTTGTCCGGTAAGGTGTTACTGCCACTGTCATAGAAACAAAATTTCCTAACATAAATAGGCACGAACACGAACGATTGAATCACCATTTTAAGAAAAATTAATTTTGAGAAGCTTAGAAGGTAAAGGAACAAATCCGCCCTTTTCTCGCTTTTGTCGTGTTCCCAATAAAAGTATAGGCATGCACTTACCATTCTAATGTATTTAATTATTGCAGTAATTTGTAGTTTTCTTCTTTCAAGTGTCGCAAATATCTTGTCAATTTCTTCTTTGAAATTTGCAGTTTTTATTCATTTGAGTGCCCTTAACGTCGTCCTGTGCAAATATGAGAATAGTTTACACTCATTGGTCATTTGTCTTTTCCCAGTTTTATCAAAAGTTACCCGCCAAACGCGCAAACAAAGCAATCGTTTTTCGCTTTTTTCCATTTTTTGTTTCAAATAAACGAGGGGGTTTAGTAATTAAACTGGTTTTGATGATAGACAATCGTATCGGATATTTTTTGGTTTGAAAGCAAAAAAATGGGCATTATTTGTTGAAATCAATAACGATTTATGATTGCATAACGCTAAAATACGACTACGTGGTTATGAAGTTATCGCCAGGATGGTTACATTATAAAAGTAAAAAAAGGCCGTAAATAAAAATTAATAGGGTCAGTTCTGAAAAGGTCAACAATTTTAGGAACATATTTCACCTGCGTGATACGAGGTGGAAAAGGGTGATATATATTACTTCTATTCTATGAGGGATAAACCGCAAAAGGTGTGCATTCCATTTCGCTGCTTAATTGATTGTCCTGCAGGGGTGTAAATGTGTATAGCCTTAAATTGAAGTACCGACTGATGATAACGACAGATGCTTTTTCTTTTCAGTTCAAGTAATGGTAGGTAATAAAAATTGAGGCTCGTTTAACCCAGATTGTTGGTTAAAGTTAACGATGTTGCGTAGATTTGAGTTACAAAGAGACCTTTTAAGAATTTTTGCGATCCGTAAAAACCTTTCAAGATTTACAAAGCTAAGTAGAAAGCAGTTGTGGTTGAAGTTTGTAAATGATTCGCATTAGAGCTTTTTACGGTAGCTTTTGTTGTACGAGCTCGTGTATTTTCTATGCGCGAATGAAAATATTCCGTGTGCATTATCATTTCGCGAATGCGATTAATTTGGTCAGTCATTACTAATTTCATGCCAATTTTCTCGGCACATGTGTAGGGGAAAAGGCGTTTTAATGAATATAGATTCGCGTCTTGTCTAGACGATGCTTTGCTAATACGTTTTATTTTGCATTACAACAATTTACTGAATCAGTTGTGCTAGTACCTAACCATCAGCTATTTATCTTCGTGTTTGACGTTTGATATGGAGAGTGATATGTTAGTTTTGACGTGTGTAGCATCATTGCAAAATACATAAATTTGGCCGAATCCTCAATCTTTCTGTCATGAAAGTAATTCTCGACAATGTTGGCTTATATAATAAATCTTAGTAATTTGTCTTGTCACGGAGATTGTTGAGGAAGATATATTTCATTAAAATAACTTTTATATTCGGTGCCTACCTTTGTATTGTTTTCAACTTTTCCAAATTTGAAGGAATGAGGCATATCCGTTACTAAGTTACATGCTGAAATATTGAGCCATTTTTAGTCGTCTATGTACTCTCACGAACTAATTTAATTTAACAATTTACAGTAGAAGATTTGTATTTATTTCATTTGCGTAAAGGCGTAGAGGCGTAGAAAGGTTACATGAATATTATTTTCGACTTAAATTTTTCACTTTTATCTTGCAAATCCTTTTTTATCTTGGAGATTTCAGAATATTCAGCTTCATACTAGAACTGCAGATTTAAACTCGAAAATGGCTTAAATATTTTGTAATTAGTCAATACCATTTGATTAAATGTTTAGGTCGCGAAATGTGTTCTGTCAGGGGGAAAGGGGGGGGGGCACAAATGCTCAGTCCTAGAGTCCCAACCCTTTTCGCCGACCTTAATAAAAATACACAAAGTAATAGATTAAAATTAGGAACCAAACAGAATTTAAGAATTTAATTCCAATATAGAAATGGATATTTTATACGTATTTTAAGCAATAAATAAAAGTATTTGGAACTACAATTTATTGCATTTCTCTAACAGCGAATTAAGCGCTAACGTTTTATCAAAAGCACTGCTATATACCTAAGTACATCTGTGTCAAAACTAAAAAATTAACAAAAGTTTATCACGTACAGACATTCTGAACAGGTTTGTTATTCCAATGCTTTTGTTTTAAAAGAATAATTATTAAACTCCTCAATATTCATGAATATCAAATAGCCAATGGAATGGTGGGAACACAAAATTTATACTCTTAATGCAGTAAACGGAAAACTAATTTTTGTGTACCTATTTCGACTCGTATTTGTATGCACTTACCCCTTTATTTGTTCTTCGTCAGTCATAGCAATTTTTACCATCCTTGATTCTTTTTACGGCATCTACTTTTCCTTCCTGCATGACCTTGATATCACTTCTTGTCATTTCGCTTGCAGGACATAATCACTGGTGCTTTTCACAGGTCAAGTCATTCAACACCAGCATCTTCTCTTGGAAACCCTTGTCACTTATGCCAATAACTATCCTTCCACCAAGGTGGGCATAAAAATGTTCAAATGGCTCTCCGACTTGGCGACTTCTTTAACTCATTTACTTAACATAAACCGCTCATAGATAATAAGATAACGTCAGTTTTCGGGTTCACATGTTGTTTAATTTTATTTCACATATTAAGGCAGCATTCAGTTGTTTTCATTTTAGAAAACAAATGAGTAACGAAAAAAAATTTAATTTTTTTAAATGACATGGCAGTTTTCGTTGGGCTCATTTGATAGAAATTTTTTTTCTTTCTTCGTTGATGTAACATGTTAGTACCACTATTCAAGAAAATTTTTCAAAAAAATTTATTATAATTAGATCAATAACATTAATCCAGATATCCTACATCAAAATAAAACAAATGAACGTGTACGTTTCTTAATAAACCTTGAAGACAAAACGAAATTAGCAGTAAAATGGTTTTCATCGCAATGAATATTTAAAATGTTCACGATTAACTGTAAGGCAGTGGCATAACGAAATAAAAATTAATTTCTTCTACACGGGTGCTAACATTGAAAAGAGAAAAAAAATCTCGATCAAATGAGCCCAATGAAAGTGTGCATTGCAATTTAAAAATTCAATTGTTTTTCGTTATTCATTTGTTTTCTGAAATAAAAACAATGGTATGCTGCCTCAATGGGAAATAAAATGTTAGACAACTTTCATATACAAAAATTTTGTATACAGTCCCTATTTACCGAGATATATGCTATATTCCATACATAATGGGCACCCTGTATATTTCAATTCCCTCTTGACCAATAATATTTAAAAATAGTGAAATTTTCACAGAATCTTCCAACTTGTTTTTACCGGTAGCAATCAAATTCAAACTGTTGACAAAATTTCTTAAAATTGTCAGTCAAGTTCATTTCAAACTTCATAGCAGCTATCCTCTTCTCCATATCGACAAGGACAACTAAATCTTATGAATTATGATTTGCATGCACGTGATCCTTAAGTTTTTTATAAACTCCAGTAGGTACTTCACGAGCGCGTCATCTTTAGGTTTGTGTTACAATTATAAAATGAATCCCATAATTATATTAAAATATCCTCTTTATTAAGACATTAACCAACGTGTCATAGTAATACAAATCAATAACTACCGTTCCTATATGCAACAACTTATACTAATAAACAATATGTGTAACATCCCAAACAATTACAGGCTTTATCTTATACTTAAAAATTTGTCAGTATTGCAATAGTCGGTTTCGCACTGCGAACAGTGTTTGTATGGGTCGCCCGAAACCCTGAAGTAATCACAATCATGGTCCGAACAAAATCTAGCCGCTACACTTTTGGCCTTGTTCATTTTTGAAAAAGCTAAAAAAAAGGTTGATTATATTCGTGTATTAGATAACATATTACTTACTTTTATAATAAAATATGCAATGTGCAGATGATGAACACGTGTCAGTTTTCGTAATATTAACAAAATGACGACAGTCATCAAAGGCTGCAGGGGAATCGTCGTAACGTCCATAGCAACTATGACAATACCTTCCGGATGTACCTACAATTCGACACGTTTAAGGAAATCAAATAAAAAGCTGTACTTCCATAGCAACAAATATACATTAAATAATTTCCACATAATAAATAAACGGGGTTGCGAGCACTGCCCACAAATATAAATAATTTACATAAATTATAATTAATAACATACAGGTTGGTAAACTTGTTGACAATCTCCCTTATCTCCAAGGATGAAGGTACCTATTTAATTGCGAATTCGAATCTATTAATCTCCCATATATCATGTCTCAACTGCGTTGTTGTAACAAATATGATAAAAACTGATTAAATCCACTTAACCGCCAAGCACCACGTGTATACTACAGGCAACCGATTTATGTCTGGTGACAATCATGGTGATGCTAGATTTTTTTGAAGCATTTGACACTATTAACCATCAGCTTTTAAAACCAATCCCTATTCACTGCGACTTTGATCGGCAGAATATCATTACTATCACCCACGGTATCCCGTATTGATTTACCAATTAGCAATTTGACGAAAAAGAACAAAATCAGGCTAATTTTAAACACGCTGGATATTCGAGATAAATATTAAATGCCACACTTTTTTAACAGCGATAAAATCTTGACGGTTGCAAATAATCGCGGAAATATGGACATAACCACAATTTTAATTTTTCCATATGAAGTAAACAATCAATCTAAAACTTCCCCAAAGGCCAAAGTGCCGGAATCTACTACAAAACAAAGCTGAACGGTAATGCTAATGATGTAGTGGTGAAGACAGTGTGGTCATAATGCTCCATGTCAGGCATGTATTTTCCAATTTATCATTGAGCTGATTGGTTTAACCGAATTAGTAGATTTTGCTATGGCTACAATAATGCTGCCCCAATTGTGTCCAGCATGAACAATTCATCACCTTGGTTTCCAGGTTAATTTCGACCAATACCGCCAAAACATGGCGAATCTTCCAACTACCAATGGAAAATAACATCACCGTATGACCACACTGTCTCTCTAGAGTCATTGTAGTAATGATAAACCTACATCTAGAGTTTATGTAATTGAAGTTACTTTTTCACTTCAACACAGGTGGCAGATATGCCCTAAAACTGAAGGTCGCCCAAATTCCTCTTCAGTTTCGGCTACAATTGTCAAATCCAAAGTCTTAGCGTACAATTTAAATAGTTCAGCTGAATTTTTAATTTAAAATTGATGATTGAGGACGTTCATCTGGGTAGCTTCCGCAGTAGTTAAAAAGTAATCAATACAACCACATATGTGAATAAATAAACGCTTGTTGCTTGAGGGCTAAAGCAGTATTATTAAATTTGTGGATGCTAATAAAATGGCATCAAATGAATGCATCCGATTTGGAGACCGTGCATAAAATCATAAACGCATCGTTACATACCAGAGGTAACACCTACACACAGTAGACCAATAGAAGCCAATACAAGTTTAAAATACATATTTCCAAAATGATAATATTAGCCAGGTTGCGGACAGCATTTTCCGTTATGTTAGACGGCCATTTTTTCTTATAACATAAGAAATATAAATTTTTGTAGAAATAATTTACGGTATGAGGGCTTTTTGTACGATATATTTATAAATAGCGGAACCAATGAAAATGAAGTTCTTATAATGTGTCACTGCGCAGTACGTAATCACTCATAAATAACATTTTCCTGCTAACCTACAAGTGCAGTGTTTATATTGGCGGTAGTTCTTTTCTTTTTGTCTAAGAGCATAGTAGTGAACTTTGGACATTTTAACACAATGTAAAATAAAAGTGAGGTTAAGACTCCTTCAAACTTATAAGCAAAATTGAACACGCCCACCACACACCGCAACTTAACTTTGCTATAAAAATGTTTTATACTTATAAACTTATATTATAAGGAAAAATGGCCGTCTAACATAACGGAAAATGCTGTCCGCAACCTGGCTAATACCTTAGTGTAAAGTTCTATTCTTACACTATGATCATACTCGTTTATGAGGCAGCCTGTACACGATTTTATATCTACGTGTCAAGAGGTTTAACAGATTAGATTACAATAGGTATCTTAATACATATACAACTTCGCCGAAAGTATAATATCTAATCTTATTGTGTAAACAAGTTATGCGCGTTGAAAATATTCTACAAGATTACTATTTCCTTTGGTAAATAAAAAAATATTGGACCACGAGGCCAATTTTTAAGACATTCCAGCAAGCCAACCCAATGAAGAAATTGAACATTACAATAAGTAAAATGCCGAAGGTTTACACGTAGTCTAGTCCAGTACCATACAAACAACACGTGCTATCGTCAAACACCTTAGTGGATTGACTTGGTGTTGGCAAGTGCCTAGGAACGTGCGTTTTCACAAGGTCATTCCACAAGCCAGCTTAATGCGCCAGTAGTGGGGGCAGATATTGGCGCCAAAAGATAGAAAGCATTCTATTAAATGAATTGACTTGAGACAATAGCAAGACATTCCATTTTAATGGATTGCCTTTATTCACACGATGGCGATACTGGATTGGCCGACGCCAACATTGGATTGGCTTGCTGGAATGTCTTGATAGTAGATGACCATATGTATGTTCTGGACCAGGAACTTCCTGCTCCAGAACATACATTGGTAATCTACTCTTGATAATTGGCCTCATGTAAATGGCCCATTACCCATAATATAAAGCGCTTTTATTTCAAAACGAACCACCGGTTGTACCTAATTTGAATTGTTCGTAAAAAAAGTCCAAAATTGTTAAAACACGTCCATTTAGATTACTGGAGGAGTTTAATGAAAGGTTTATCTTAGTTTTAGCATTTATCCCCGCACCCTAGCTGCCACCACCTTAAAATTAATATTTATCTCTCTATCGAATGATTCTTAAAATTTTTTTGAATTTTGATTTTTTAAAAATAATGACAGTTACCAAGTGTAGACGTTGAAATGCTGCACGATTTTATGATTCTCAGCGCCCAGCTATTTTTTGTGCTAAAGCAATGCAGTAAGTACATACCTAGACTGAAACGATTAACGCCGCCTCCGCGGCTTTCCTTTTCGCCAAGGTCCTTACAATAACTTTTTAAAATTTTGTTTTGAAGTTCCAGAAGAAAAAAATACGGTGTTTATCCTTATCTTCCGAGATTTCTATTAGTTCCAAGTAGTTTTGTGGAATTCCTGTGTACGACCGTAATTTTTTGTCTATTTACTCACAAACATCCGTCCACATTCTTCTTCTTCATTTATTATCGATGCCGTTTTTTGTCTCTGGAGGCTGGTAAACGTCAGAATCGGAAATTTCTATAAAAGCTGGCTCAGTATTCTTGTTTCAGAATAGTACTTGGCTCACCGCTTTTGTCAAGGCAAAGAAAATTTAATTGGTGATGTAGCTGCATCTTCTTTCATCTTTTTGTTGGCAACATGGGTTCCCTGTTTACCACACATCGAGGATGTTAACGCAATTATTCCCATTGGCTCACCTTCTTTCCCATTTTGTGAAGAAACAGGTGCTTTTGCATGTGGATTTCGGCTTTCGGTAGAAGTTCCGAAATTGCTTTCTTCCGGGATTGTTTCTCATCGTTTTCACGAACCCGTTTTGCAGTGAACTTCTTTATCGGCTTGATACGAAAATAAATGCGGCACAATATTTGGATTCGGCATTTGCTTTGCTCAATGCGAACTCAATGTATGCTCTTTTACTATAAACACCCCTAACTTCCTTGAGGTTGGAACTGCATGCTAACGATTAACTTTAATAAAACATGTTCGACATCAACTGCCGCCGTAATTCCACATTTACGTTTTAAAAGACACAATCAAAAATTCTAGCCAAAGGCTTTTACTCAAATGCGATCATCCCTCAACTCCTCTTTCACTTATACTTCTCTACGCTAAACTCGCTTTATTTTGAAATCGTAATTTTTGCGCAGACGACCTGCAGTCTATCACGGTTGCTGCCCGTCTCTCTGTTTCTTCCTGTAACTTCGCCTTTAATGTTGACTAGTAAAAAAAGAACCAAAATCTCTTCTGAAGGGCGCCTAGTTTTATATATCCAAAATAATTGTTTAAAACAAATAAACATCTGGCTGTCATATTAATTAATTTGAATATTGTTGCTTTAGCTTAACAGAAAATAAATCTCTTATGCTCCTTAACTGTTGCCGGCATCATACCAATTGACAATCTAAACTTTTTCTTCAGGTGGACGAACGAACGAAAAAAAATACGGAAACTAAAGCAACAATATTCAAAGTAATTAATGTAGACAGTCATATCTTTATTTTTTTAAGAAGTAATTTTGGTTGCATAAAATTAGGCGCACTTCAGAAGAAATTTGTCATTCAAAATAGACAAAGGGAAAAACAATATACGTAAATCCCTATGTCTACTTCGCACTGTATATAAAATTCGAAGAATTTAAACGGGGTAGCAGGTCAGTGTTACTTTTCACTAAACAACTGGGAACATGGACTGGAAATAATTCAGTAAAATATCTTTCCATGTGGATGCATCCAACTTACAAATGTGTACATATAGGTAAATGCTTTCGAGATTGCTGCTTGAACTCTACAAACGTCTTCTTGGTCATTTTTAGCTACCACTGGAACAATAACTTTCCGCCTCTTCTTGTGAACGATAATCCATACATTTGAAGAATCATCGGCACTTTCCGATTTGCTATTGCTCCCTTTTTAACGTAATCATAAAACTTTTTCTCTAACACGATAATCCGTCATTTTTCAAGTTTAAAGCTTTTAAAATTACAATTTTGTACTAGACACTTACAAATCGTTTGTTTCACGCATTCAAAATTTTCATTTCTAAAAATCAAATTATTTTAAGCATGGGGTTTGGGTGGGAGGGTGGAGGAAAGTTGGTTAATTAGTAGTTTTGTCTCAAAAACTGCTTCCAGTGACTGAAAATACATTTATTATATCATACATAATTAGTTTAGACTTTTAGAGGATAATGTCAAAGCAAATAGATCAACAATATTAAAGAATAGTAACATAATTAGTGGTACTATAGAGTATGCACAAAAATGTTCATAATCCTTTTAGAAAGGGTTCTCCTTAACGTTCAATATATGTCAGTATTGCAATAGTCGGTTTCGCACTGCGAACAGTGTTGGTTTGCTTGGCCCGAAGCCCTAAAGTAATCGCAATCACGGTTCGAACAAAATCTCACCGCTTGAGCTTCGGTCTTGCTCGATTTTTCAAGAGCTAAAAAGAGGTAGATTATATTCGTGTAAAAAGTAACAAATTACTTACTTCCATAATAAAATATGCAATATTTGGAATTTTTGCAAGTGTCAGTTTTGGTAACGTTAATAAAATGACGGCAGTTGTAAACGGCTTCAGGAGAATAGTCGTAACGTCCATAACAACCATGGCAACGCCTTTCGGGTTCACCTACCATTCGATACGTTTAAAGAAATCAAATGTACCTAATAGTACATTATATATCAAGGTAGAGAAGTACAGTATTATTGCCTGAGCACCAAGATTACATCTCGAGGCGCTTGCGCCGAGGGGTGTAAGGTGCGAAGGCAATAAGAGACCTCTCTACCGTGGTATATACTATTTTTTTCACTACTAGCACTTGAAGTCCTCTAAATTAACATATTATATTGATAAGAAAGTGAACGGTTGGACAGAATTGTTTGTTTATTAATTTAACAAGTGGAAAAAAGGTTAATAATCATGTCATCAGACGCTAGCAGTGTCTGTGCTAGTAGTGAGTTTATACAATCATTATCATTATAGTGCACTGAGCTCAAGGAAGGTTTCGTTGGTTAGCAACGTGCAATATAAACCTTAATTTCTATGGGATATTTCTTAATGATTTTAACTAATGATAATGATTGTATAAACTCACCAATACGACGTATTTTAAAAAGCTGCATTTCCATAGTAACAAATATAGATACACCACATAATTTCCATATAATTAATATATAAATAAGTAGACGGGCTTGCGAGCATTGCTCCCAAATATAAAGAATTTACATAAATTATAATTAATAACATATACAGGTTGGTAAGTTTAAGATCTCCCTTATCTCCAAGAATAAAGCTATCTTCATTTTAAATACTTTAATTGCGAATTCAAATCTAATAATCTGCCTGTGTAATGTATCGAGTTGTTTATTGGTGACATCCTACTTCATATCCAAATAAATCTTCTCTACTACTTTTCGAACGTGATTATCTCAGTATAAAAATTATATCCTCTATCAATATAAAGATTAGTGACATTCATCTTAATGTCGATGATGTGGCAAACAATTTACAACTTTAGTTTGATTGTAATTTCAAATTATCGACCAGTGCTAGTGAGACTTTCTTAAGACTCAAGAAATTACAACAAACAGGAATGTACTTACTGTTAAAACTTTCCCAGACAGTGTCACGTTACCAAGATAGGCATCAGAAAAACAGTTATTATAAAAAAGAGTGTGCGGTGGTGATGGTGATGAACCTACATGTCGACTTCATGTAGCTCACGTTTACTCTTTCACTTCAAGGCCAGTTGCAGATATATCCTAGAGCTGAAGGTCATTAGAATTCTCTTCAGAAAAGTAATCAGTACTGTCATCTATGTTAATTCTAAATGCTTGTTTTCGAAGCCGCTAAAGTAGTATTTTAAAGTTCGTGATTGCTATACTGGCAGCAAATGAAGGTTTCAAATTTTAGAGACCATTCGTGCATACAATCAGAAACGTGTCTTTACATACCTAAGGCAACATCTACACACAAGAGACCAACAGACGCTAACACAAGTTTAAAATACATGTCTTCAATCAAAATTATGATCATACTCGTTTATAAGGCAGCCTGCATATGGATTTATACATACGTATCAAAAGGTTTAACAGATTAGATACATTTTAAAATAGAATGATTATCTGCTTTTCTTATCATTATTACAAAGACTTATCCCGATTACTATTATCTACAATCCACTAATTACTGTAGGACTTCCTTTTATTTGCAAACACCAAAAATAAAATGCGAGTTACACATATTCACTGCCTGAAGCAATTGTTGAAAGACATTAGTTTCTGAAGTTTCTGTTTCAGAAAAGAAAAAAATGCTTCACACATCGGATTGCGCGAGTATTGACATCAGAGGCGAGTACATATTCATTCTTATTCCTTTGCAATTACAATTCAAAAATGCATTACAAAGAAGAGCGTTGTGTCGGCGATTCGATGACGGAGGAATGTGGAAGAAGGTGTCTCAAAAACGACTTCCAATGGATGTTGCTGAAAATTACAACATAATTACTTCATTTTGTAGTTTAGACTTTTAGAGTGTAAGTTTTTTACGTTGCGGTGTCTGTAACACTCACATACTCATGGGAAGAACGCTTTCTCGCCGTGCTATCAACGGGATTTGATAATTCTATATTAGATAACATATTACTTATTTTCAAAAACACAGCTATCTCCATTTTAAATCTTTAATTTCGAATTCGAATCAATTTATCTGCCCATTTCATGCCTGAAGTGCTTTATTGTTGTTTTGTACCACTCTCTCCTTTTTTATGTAAGAAACTGAATCTATTGCAAACACAACAACAACCATGGAAAACAGAGTCAACTTATGGAGGGAAGCAATTGCGATTGTAACCCCAGAAATGTGGAAACGATAATAATAAAGGAATGGTATGCACGCGAAAAACAATTGAATATTGCAGAAATACCCCAATCATTATAAACTTGGGTGAAAACTAAATATGAGGCGCCGTTTGTACCATAATTATTTCTCACGAATATATAAAATAAAATAAATATATCTAGAACTTTTATATATTTGCATTAAAAGTTTTAAATATATAAGAAATTAAGTTTTATATATCTGCAGGATAGCATCGATGAAATATATAAAACTTCGGCTTTATGTATCTATCACTGGTGGCGCTACAGTAACCTCAAACTTGGCAACAGCAACCAGCGTTTGTTTCATTTGAACAACTGATCTGCTAGTTCTGTTTACATTTCGAATATTATACATATACTTATTATGTACATATTATTGGATTAAGAAAGAAAACACACTGTCGAATGTCTGATCTGCTAGTTTTCACGCCGCCGTTTCTATTTCGTGTACTTCTAACAAGCAACCTATCACTATTTTATTTTTATAGTAAATTTTCAAACTTGAAACCGGTTCATATAATTAAAGTGTAATAAATGCATGCACTAGTACCTATATTTTCTCAGCCCCTGGAAGGTATTGTTTGTACTGATCTATACAAATTCAAATTGATCTCTTACACTGTCAGGGAAAATTAAAATGATCTGTAAGTCTTAGATAAAAAATGAATACGGAAACTTCATTACATCAAATACACAACTTACGTCAACCCTTGTATATAGTTTTTTGTACTCATTGAATGGAAAGATAATGTTTCCAAGCATCCTCGATGCACGGGAAAACGACTTTCCCGCATCGCGGTGTTTTTTAGTTTCCGCTGGAGAGAAGGGGTTATGCGCGTTCTTCGGTTGGTAGTACTTATTGAAGTCAACGAACGTCATGTCATGGTTAACTGTCATCTGCTGTAAAATCAATTAAACCGTTGGTTGAGGGTATTTAGTGCGATTAATCGGAAACAGACGTACACTAAGTTTTACGTAAATATATAAACAAGAACTTATAACGCAATCAAATTATTTTTCAGAATTGGAACTCAAGAAAAAGTAAAATTTATTGTTAAAACGTCTTAAAATGTGACCAGTGATATTCTGCAACTATTCGCATATGCAGTTTAAGAAAGCACATATTAACACACACAAAGCTTCCAAGGATTTTAAATGTAACGAGTGTATTTACGCAACTCAAGATAAATCAAATTTGAGAACACATTTGTTCACACATGTCTTCTGGGAATATTAAATACGATCAGTACACTTACGCGACCAATAAGAGCACTCTTTTCAAAGCATATTTGTTAACATTGAAGACTTCCAAGGATATTCAGTGCAAACGATGCAATGCCGTGACCAGTAGTAGCACTCATTGCAAAGGCAAAATATGTATTAACCAAAGATGTGGAAGTTTTAAATGTGACCAGTGCAATTAAAAGTGGGTAGTTACAAAATTATGTTACCAACCAAACATATGATTGTGTTACCAACTCATGATTAAAAAAAACTAATTTACAAAACTATTAATTTTGACCTTTTTTTACGCAATTCGTTACAAAAAATATTGTACCTAACTCTTTCGGAAAGAATTTTCCCGCATTCGCACTAAATGCAGCACTCCCTACGGTCGTGCTGCAAACAAAGTGCTCATGCGGGAAAATTAACTTACCGAACTTGTTAGGTAAATAACTATTACAATTCTATTATCGTAGCGCTGATGTGCAATTTAAACTTTACGAATAAGATAAACAAAATGGGCCTGCACCTTTCGTTAAGCGACGGATATCAATAACAGTAATATACTTAGTGTACAAATTTGAGCGTGCGATAATTACTATTACCTGAATACAGTAGATGATAAACGCAAACCAAAACAATATGATTATTTTATAAATATGTGCCTTTCTCAACACATTCTTAAAAGTAATTGCTGAAGAATGTTATATCAAACACATTAATGCACGTCAGTTACTTTCTAATTTACAGACTCGAATAAATTCATACATCACCAGAATGAAGTTGCTGAAATATGTACGCTTCCTCATAATGTCAAACCAACTCTAATAGAAACTCTTCGACATCCATTTTCAAAACAACCCAATCTGAAAACTATGCGCAACAAATATGAGTGTAAACAAAAGTAGCAGATCAGCTGTTCAAATTCAAACAAAGGCTAGTCGATGTTGCCAAGTTTGAGGCTACTCTAGTGATAGGCATACGCAGCTGAAGTTTTATATATTTCATCGACGCATATAAAACTTGTTTCTTATATATTTAAAATTTTTAATGCAAATATATAAAAGTTCTATATATTTATTATATTTTTAGTCTAGGCGATAGAGACTGTAAAATTGGCAAACTGGACATTTTGAGGCGGAAAAGAAAAAATTGGTGGAATACGTTCAGTTAGGTGTCAGAAACAACATATTAAAAATCCCACCCCCCAGACCCTGTGCTAAAGGCTCCAGCCACCCCACCACTCCCCAGAAACTGTGTTTTCGCCGTTTTTGGCTGATATCGTGCGATCTATGAGGTCTAGATGAAATATGTTTAGCTGAAAATATTTCTCATGAAATTTCATACAAGGTAGATACTGAGAAGTTAGCCTAGGTCTATCTCTTAGCCTAGAAAATTCATAAAAGAGGCGAAAATCATCAATTTTCGTGGCTTTTTGCGTTTTTTTGAAAATATATCGCGATCTTTAGGGTTAGATGAAATATTTTTAGCTGAAAATGCTCCTCGTGAAATTTCTTACAAGTTAGATACTCATAAGTTGGCCTCTTAAATTACCT